GGGTTGCCAGCCCTTAAAGCCTTGGGAGACATTTGATCATACAGCTGAAATTGTGCACAAACACAAAAGACTTAAGGCATTTTTTTTCTCATTTTCAGAATGTTTGTCACCTGCTATTGCTATATAGATTTGGGAAAATAACCCGTGCAGCTTGGATTTTAATTTGGTTCTAATCCTAAAAAATGCCATTCAAAACTAATATGAGCACTTTTCCTGTTTTCATGGGAAGGCTTTAAATCCTGTAAGAAAACAAAATACAAATTGCAGGAATGTTGACAATCTAACTCCACTGGTAAGGCTGTGGATGTGGTCAGGGGACTGTGAATACTGCTGAGTAAAAAGTAGAGCAAGGCCCATCTGCTGTCTTTGACAAATAAAGTAGAGAAAGTTTGAGAGAGCAAAAGTAAAGAACAGTAATAAAATTGGATGGAAAAAGAACGTGAAAAAAAACGGTAGTTTTACAAGATACTCCTTCTTTGACAAGTAAAGAAGAATTTTGGGATGGAGATTGGATTGTAGTTTTGAACTTCCTATGAGTTGGAGTAACTACCTGCACAATAAGCTGTTTTAAGAACTCAGCTGAGTATTTCTTCAGGGATTGAAATTTGTCACCCAAGCAGCAATGAAGCGGGAGACAGCTGCTCTGAACAGAGAATTTGTTGTAGGCGGAGAAGGTGTGCAGGGCAAAGGGTGTAAAGCCACATTCCAAGCCACAGTAGTCACAGTCCGTCTTGTACTACAGCTCAGGGTGCGAGACCGACTGTCTGATTTATATTTTGAGCAGAAGTGTATTCCAAGTAAACCTGACTACCTGACATTGCTTTCATTCTGACCACAGAGTATTTGCAATGAAAAAAAAAAACCCAGCATTTACAAAGAAAGACATTTTATCCTGCAGAAATCTGATAATTGTCAGTGGGGTACCTGTCTTGTCTCTGTACTGAGGGGACAAAATGTATTGTCCTTCCAAAACAGAGAGATCATATCTTTGAAGAAAATAAATCTGTCAAGAATTATGACAGAAATATACTAGCCATAGATAAATCATAATTTAGAATAAATGGTGAACTTTTCATAGATTTTATAGTATATCTAGTCTTTTCTTCCTTTTTTTTTTTCTAGTCTGGTATGCCTATACTTTTTTTTGTAGTTAATGAAGGAAAATTTCTGTGCTTCTTTGTGGATTTTTTTTTTGTGTTTTGTTTTTTGTAAGCAACAACATCAGATCTGGATCAGTTTATTAACTTTCTGATACTAGAGTGACCATGCCATGTGTAAAACAATGATTTGGTTAGTTTTGCCCAAAAATAATTTTAAGAAAAAGCGACTTGAAAATATTGGTCGTGTGTATGCATTGTACTATCCATGGTCTACCTGTCTTTATAAAGATGCAGATACATAGTTCTCTAGCTTACCCCTCTGTAAATTAGAGGTTTAAACCATTGCTGACTTTATCAGTTGCAGCTACAAATGCAAGTCATAGCAACCAATCTTAAGGTGTGACTAATATGCCTAATATCTACACTGAGCACACAAATCCCTACATCAGTGCCTAGATATGAGAATATCTAAGCCATGTTCCATTTACAGAGTTTTACGTTATCCAACTCTCTTGGGACAGTAGCCCCTGATGTAGTAGAAGATGATTTCTAGGACACCTCCAGAGTGAATTCTGGGGAAAAAATGTGTCTCAGGGCCTAGCTTTCACTGCAGAAGAACAAATTACCAAGCAGAAGAGCAAGGAGCACTAGTTAACTAACCTGAATATGAAGAACCTTCACATTTAGTGAGTGTGAAGGACTTTGTGTGTGGAAAATAGCTGTAAACTTTCTAGTTGGTAGATTACTAAGTAGGCAAATCAAGAAGAGTTTGGAAAACTTAGCTTCTAAATATCTCTTTGCAGACCAAGATTTGCTGCTATTCTATTCTAGCATGTTGTAACAAGAAGCATCAGTTCATCATTTTCAGTGCATTGGTACTCCTTGATTCTCCACCATTTCATGAACAGGTATTTTGAATACTGGCAGTATGACAGGAACCATTTCTATGTAAGCAATCACTTTTAATCTATGTTAGGTTTATGAAGTCCACTTCTTTCTTCCGCCAGCCTATTTTAAATTGGGCAAATAGTTACAGAGCTCATAAAAATTAGTACAATGTTTCCTCTTAATTAGCATTTGCTAGTGTCTCAGCACATACTGAGCACTGACTCAGCATAGGCCCAGAGTGCAGTAGACTTTCTGTGTTTTGAATACTGCTTTAGTCATGAAAAATCACTCTGAAAGCTGTACTCAGGAAGTGAAATACATGAGTTGCTGTCCATTTATCAGCTCTGGACTGAAGTCTGCATGTGCCCTTTCAGGTTCTCTGTAAGTCCCACTCATATCGTGTGCTGGGCACTGTAAGGATGTTTATGCTGCAGCTTTCCAGGACCCAGGACGTAACCACAGGGTAGTTAACATGGAACAATTGACCAACATTACATCAGGTCTTAAAAACATATTAACATGATTGCTTTTTTTTCCCCTGAACTAGTTGAAGAAATTTGGAAAAGCTAATAAACCTATTTAACTAGTAAAAAAAATTACCATAAGATACATTATAATAACTTAATGACCTCTATAGTGGAAAAAATTTAGGATTTATGTGTAGGAAAAGATGGTTGTTTGAGATAGCTCTAGTACAATTTAACAATTACAGCATACTCAGATTAATTAAAAATCATTCTCCAATTCTTATTGGCCAGGTCACTTGAGAAAATCATTGAAAATGAATTTTATTATGTACTATCAGAACCTTTAATTATTTTTGCAAAAGCTATTTTTCTTATGACATTATATATGTCTTTTCACACTTACTATCTATTCTCTTGCTGACCTGCATCCGAACTCCATCTTCACTGTCCTATGACTGTATGTCTGGGAATAAGTTTGCACATTCTCCATAATTTCAATCACAGCGTAGGTAAAAAAACTGTGTTTCTATGAAACTCCTTAGATACAGCTCTGTGAGCTTCCATGGCAGTATAAATAAAGCAAAACTATTTTCTTCATTGAGGCTTCAGACCCTTTAGAAATAAACTCCCTTTAGTTTCTGCAAAGCACTGTACACATCTCCAGCAATTGCATATAATTAAAAATAAGTAATATATGGACAATAAACCGTAGTAAACCTTAACTGCTGTTAACAAGCTAGAATTAGTTATTTCTAAAATATGTGTTTTCTAGAATATTAGGAAGGAAAAAAAAATACAGTAAAATTACTTTAAAATTCCTTTAAGATAAAATGCCTCAAATGCTGCAGTGCAAACGTAGTGCAATGCCACAGATACTACCAGTTAGGAGCAAAAAATGTCTCCTTAAGGTCTTGGTTTTTGTATTCAAACTGAAAATGTGAAGTTTGAGATGCCTGTAAGATCACAGATTGTCTGCTATTGTATGCATTTATCTACACAGTGGTTCTGATTTGAGCTGACATTCAGTGCTACAAATAATAAGTACACTAATTGATATTATTTGTACAAAAAACTTTTAGAATTTCCAGGGTAGTTCCTATAGGTCTATTTAACCTTGTGCTGAAACTGGATTTTTTAATGCATTCACCAGAGCTGCAGCTTTCTCAGAGGCAGAAATTGCCTGCCAGCAGCTGATTAGTTTTTCCAGTCTGTAGTTGTTCTTTCCTGCTTTTCCATCTTTCCTTTTATCTCATTTTTTTTTTTTTCAGTATTTTACTCATATAAATGCTGGTAAATAGATTTTTCTATCATTTACAACCTTTATGATCTTTAAAGCCTTCACACTTTCCCCTTCTGTTCTCCCCCAAACTAGATAATTTTTCCAGATCGCCTGCAAGGTTCCACTTCACGCTGGAGTTGATAGGTTCTCACTCTTGCAATCTGGTGGCAGGCAGGAAACTGCAAATAATGTCACAAATACCAGTATTCAGCACAAGCTCCGTTCCTGGGATAGCCCAGAGTTATCCTGGTGGCTGTGCCCCAGCACAGCAGCTGTCAGCAGTGTCTCTCATTCCTTGCTCCAGTCTGTTCTGCTTTCTTGCTGCCGTGGCAAGAGCTGTCACACAGCAGAGCTTGTGCCTGAGCGCCTGCGGTTGAGATGAGAAGTGCAGGAGCTGCATAATGTCTGCGCTGAGCATTGCCTTTTTCAAGAAAATAAATCACTTAGTCATCTGGTTTCCAGAGGTTAACTCTGCAATTTGCAGCAAATTTCTCGCTCTTGTCACCTGTTTTGCATAAAATGGTTGGTTAGATGCTACAGGCATTTCCTGTGACAGTCTCCTCGGTGATTTAGGCTCATGTGGTTTACCTACTGTATTGCACAGGAACATTAACTTTTCAGCCACGTGTGAATTTAAAGTTTCATGAAAATATCAAAATGATACATGAAAATGATACATGAAAATGATAGTCATAATTCTTTATATGTAGAATGTCAAATTTTAAAGAACAGAGAGCTTGGCTAAACATCATGTTTGGTATTTTAATATTCAGAAAAGGCAAAAGTACCAGTTGGTTATCAAAACTGCTGAATGAATGATATGGAAGGAAACAGCTGGGGAGCTACAAGACTTCCAAAAAGGACAACAAAAAAGCTCTGCACGTTTTTTTTTTTCTCCCTGTATTTAACCTAAAAATAAAATAAGTTTTTAAATAAATTTAAAAGTATTTACAATCTTTTATCATTAAGATCTTTAAAAACACTCTTACATTGTGTTAATGCAAACACATAATCTGGTACTTGCATGTCTTTTAAAGTGTGTTGTAAGAACTTTTCAAGAGATGCACACATGCAAAAATGTCTTGTGCTGGAAAGATGCAAAGATAAAGCAATTTTGTTGTCCTGTTCAAAAATTCTGGTTGCCTTTTGCAGTGCTGTCTGCTTGGCCTTTTCCCACCAGAATTCTGGTATAATGATAAATTATGCAGCATGTACAGAAATTGTTCTCAAGCCTATGTTAACAGTCCTGGTAATATATTTTTTTAGGTTTCCTCTACGCTCAGAACAGTACCAAACGCAGCATTAAAGAGCGACTTATGAAGCTCTTACCCTGCTCGGCTGCCAAAACGACATCTCCTGTTACTCAAAGCAAGTTTTATTTTTCACTTGACTCTTTTTTTTAGGTTTGCATGTGTCAAAAGCTATACTTTCACTAACTGCTCGTCTGAGGGACAAGCTATCTGCTGAGGAAATTGTATGGTCTGCTGTGGTTTGAAAGGTAGTGATGAACAGCTCTTGGGGCTGATGACACGTTTGTTCATGCACAGCAAGGTACCAGCTGCCATTAGGAGCTGCTAGGCTGGGACTCTGCAAGCTAACTGGCATTCGTTGGTTAAGTTAAATTCTTGTTCTCAATGTATTTGAAGAGTGGCATCTGTTTGGATACATCTGTGCATGTGTCTGTGTGTTTTTGGTGTCTAGTGTGTAGGATTGTACCAGCGGAGCTGGGCTGAGAGGAAAGGCACAGCTCTGCAAATCTTGACTGTGTAGCATCGAGTCATCTAGGGAACAGAACCTAATATGTGTGTCCGAAATAGGAATAAAAATGAGGTGGAAAACAAAATAGGCAAGTGTAGAGGTAAAGCACACTGACATTTCCTTTAATGTTTTGATCCTATCCTTCAGGAAATAAAATCTCATACAAGATGCATTACACACAGGTGCATTATATATGTAAATACATACCTAGAGATATGTTACAGCAGTAGTAGTAGTATCTTCTTCTATAAAATGCTGATAGTTTAAAATAACTGATTTTAAAATATCCCTGTGGGTCCTTGTGGTCTAGTTTAATTCTGGGTGCTTATGTGAGCACCTAAAACTAGAAGCTGAGTGGTGCCCATTCTTCCTGCATGCTCTTCTTGATAAAGCAGGCCCATCAACCAAAGGAACAAAACATGTCCAAGAGCAGCTACCTGTTTCCAGGGATTATGGAGCAACCTGCAGCAACTTGGCTGCTAACTTAGGCCTCTTCTATAGGTGCTTAGAGATAGGTGGACTGGATATAGGCTTTATTCCTGCTTCTCTGCTTCACTTTATTCCATACTTTCCTCCATAAAGTACACTCTGGTATTTTCTCTCCTCTATAAATTATTTGAGAGCTTAAAGATGAAAAGCACTGAAGATGTGGATGACAACTTGCATGGTAGCTTCAGTTGATATGCTTTACATCAAAATAGGGTAGTTTAAAAAGGGCAGTTACTGCAGTCACAGCTGACAGTAATTCATTAAGTGGAGGTTGTTTTCAACTAAATGACCCGAGTATAGTTAGTCCTAGACTAAAAAGGTGTTGGTGATGGTTTGATCTCTCTATTTGAAGATGTTTTGAAAGCAATATGTTATTTCCTTGCACATCTCTATGCAACCATTTTTTTTTTTCTAATCAGGCAATACAAATATATTTAGAATCAGCCCTAGTGAAAAGCTTACATTTTCTTACTGAGAGTGTAACAACAAGCCAGAAGGGGAGTCAAAGTAAAACTTGCATCAAATGTTTCATATTTGGGAATCAAATAGTAAAAGGAGAAATAAAAGTCAGTATTTTGCTCTGTGTTGTAGTCATTAAGACAATGCTGCACTAAAATGAAACTATTATTGTAGACACTCAACATAATTGTCTAATTTTGACGTAATGTGCTATTTAATTTCTGTTAGCGTAAGAGAAACCACATTCAATGTACTAGGAAGTCAGAAATACCTGCAATGATGAGGTGAATTCTTCAGAAATTCTAAAGGGTACATTTTCGGAACAAGAATTTTGTTTAAAAAAAAAAGACAAGACCTGAATTTGCATCTCTGTGCTTTTGCTCTGCTTCTTTACTTAAATACTGAAGTGGATACTTAAATGCTAAAGATGGGATCAGACTCAATAGTTAATGGGGAAGATAAAGGAGTATTTATCCAATTATTAAATGGGCAGGGGTTGTATATACCTCAGGGATTCTGCAAGTAAGTGCATGTGCATAATTTTAGTATTTGTGGACTGAAGCCTAACTTTGGATGTGCTTTTCTGTTTTGTTTCTCTTGCAATATTTTTTTATCATTTTGTCATTTGATGAATTGTAAAATGTTTCTCTTTTGACTGACATATGTTAGTCTTCATGCACAAAGAGTAGTTAAACTTTTAATATTTTAATATTAATTTTAATATTAATTTTGCTTATTTTTGCTATTTTTGCTTATTCCTGTGTACTCATTTCAATTGTGTAAGTTTATATACTTTTTGGAAAGCAAAAAATAATTCTTGTAGTAAATACAGAAGTAATAAATATATGTCATACTGACAAATAATTGTACTCACAAATCTGTATATATTTTCTAGCTTAACACATGATCAGATATTGGAGTCTGCATCCATGCTCAGAATACAGATGTCTGTGCAAACTGAAGTTTTTAACTGAAGTACAAGCTGCATTCAGAGTAGTAGCATTTAGGAGGTGCAAGGAAGCTGTGATTTGCACTGTTACAAAGGTTTACCCAGAATAATAGTTTGATAAATTCAGTCCAGACATTTACTGAGAATTTAGAATGCAGGTTTATCTGTTCCATTCTTCTATTTGATTACAAAGTATAGAAGGTTCTTAGATCCTTGGGAAAAAATATTCATGTTTTAAAAATATACATTCTAAAGGTTAAATCCATAAAATGAGGATCAAGCATCTGAATTCTGTTCTCGGCTCTTTCACAGGCCATTGCTAGTGGTTTAGGAAGCCCCTTAGACACTGGCACTGCAGTGGTCTGTCTCTGTGAGGAGTCCGCTGGCCTGACAGGGAAGAATACTGATTTCTTTTACATTCAGTTAAGACCCCCCAAAAATGGGAAGAGTGGATATGTGATCTTTTGTTCACTCAAAGGCTTTGTGACTGAACCATTCATTCCCTAATAAACATTTCAAGCCTGAGAGTCCCCAATTTTTGACAATTGTTTTTTTTTTCCTTTTCACACCTTGAATATTTCTTTGATCCTTACTTCCATGAAAAGAGTGCCAATAGCATCTCATTAACAAAATATAAGACAGAGTGACAATTTTGTGAATTGATCTGAAAAGATTTATCTGAATTGTATGTCTATATATATTTTTAAAGATTATTAGATATTTTTTGCTTAGTTGAACCATATCTCCTGATGCCACATTTTTCGCATGCAGTGGGAATTTGCTAATAATGCATTGTAACAGAACAAAGCTAGTGATCTCAAACTGTAATTTTATGTTAATAGCATGTTTTATGCATACTTATGAGTTCTTACAAAAATTAAACTAAATGCAACTTGCTTCTAAGACTGCATTCTCAAGCTCTGATGAAATAAAATGTCTATACTTTGCCCTGTAGAAGTGAAAAATTCTGCATGCTTGACTTGGCTCAAATTAGATTTCAATACAGATCCTACAACTCTTATGCCAGAAGAGGAAAGCAATTTGGTTAAATTAGTCCTCAGTATTACAGAAACTATGTTTAATGGAGGAAATACTTAAAAATAAATGTATGTGTGCGTATTTTTGATGAGACACATGCCTGGTAATCCATATGAAATGTTCTTACTGTAAGTTCATTTAGTTACAGTTGTACTGAACTTCCATATTTAAAGTTCTACCTGGAATAAATGTATTGCTGTCTCTCATTTCTTTTAGGGAAATATTCATCCTTAATCCTTGAAGGCCTCATTCTTATTCATATAGATATTCTGCATGTAAACTGCACACCATGAAAAATTATGTTTGCCCTTTATGCTGTGCTCAAAGTGCAGAATTCTGTTGAATGTGCAATAGCAACCTTACGCAGTTTCCAAAGTCCAATTTCACAGTAGGAGAAGAACATTAAAAATAACAGGCTGATATAGCAAATTCTTGTTCATTAACTAGGCAATGGAAATTTGCCAGTATTTGGAACACGTATGGTGACAAATTGTTATAAAAAATCACTTTACTCAGAGATTTGTAGAAACAGAAAAGTCATACCATGTGGGCCATGCATGTTCTTGTAGAAAATCCACCTTTCAGTTATTATTATTTATACCAGTGTGTGATAACATCCAGAACATTGGATCAAAACCTATGCTCTGTGCTGTGTGCAGCCACTGAAACAGACAGGTTCCCTTTCCCAAGGAGTTCAAAATGAATGTTATTTGTCTTAAACGCTGTCAGAAGAACTATTCTTTACAAAGAATGTTCTTTAACTTACTTCTTTTTTTCTGTGACAGATATTTCTGCATCCTATATTTTTGTTAAGCTTTTTTCCTCTATCTTTTCTATCCTGCAGACACTGTAGAAGATGAAATGGAAATGGCCACAGTACGACATAGACCTGAAGCTCTGGAACTGCTGGAAGCACAGAGTAAATTCACAAAGAAGGAACTTCAGATCTTATATAGAGGTTTCAAGAATGTAAGCATCATCTTTGTGAATATATCATACCTTTTTAGGAGGACAGGCTGCTGCAATGACAGCAGTATCAAAACTGACAGTGAAACACAGTGGAGCTCAAGGAGTGAAATATTGCTTGTCTGGTCAAGTGAGGAAACATTGAACCTGCCACACTTGGGCTGCTCGATGTTCAAAAGATGCAGTTGAATTAGAAAGTAGTACTTTGATACAGAAAAGATTGAAGATGGTGTTGGGGTTGCATTAGAGGAATTTTTAGTTAGGTGGACAACGGTAGATTATCTCTTCACTCCTTTCTAGCTCCACGGATCTATAGGCTTGGCAGCTCTATTCATGGAAAATCATTATTTGTGATTTACTACTGATACATGGGCTCTATGGGCAGGGTCAATGTTCCTTTTTTTGGCAGGAAAATAACTAGAATTTCACAGGAACCCCCACTGAGGGCTCCCAATGCACCAGAGCCATATACCTCCATTTCCAATGTGGGCTTCTTGTCCTGTGGTTCTGGGGTTACTGCTAGCATGTGCATGGTTAGCCCGGGGAAATAAGGTGCGGAAAGATTTACTAAGTGCTATTAAGTTCTGGCACGACTAGTCCTCATTATACCCAAAGGAAAGGCTGCCTCTGATATTACTAATGCTGTACACCAAAAAAAAACCCTCCTTCATAATAATAAAAAGGATCCTTTTCTTCTAGATCTTTCATGTGATTTACACTTCTATATGGTATTACATGCAATTAAAGATGGATATAAAATATCTGGTATTGCATAAAAATTGGATATCAGTTACTAACAAATCTCAAGTGTGATGCTAATCTGTGTACTCAGCTATGAGTACTGCAGCTTTCCAGGTATTAAGTATGCTGCTGAGCTCAAGGCAAAAATAAACTTTATTGCATTTATCACCCTTGGATTTAGTTTTTCTTTTGGCCTTCACCTGACATTTACTATACAAATGAAATTGTGTACTAAAGCGTAATAGTGCTAGAAACACAATGAAGCTCAATTAAGGACTTGGGTAGTATGTTTTCAATAGCTAGTAAAAGAAAAAATATAAATCTTAGAGAAGTCTTAGGTATCAGGTATTTTGTAGTGAATCAAGACCATGCAAAAAGATTTGTAAAACACGTTTTTATTGAACTCTTGCAAGGCAAGTAAAATACACAGTCATTTAACATGTCCTGGCTATACATTACCCCCAGTACCAGGAGGTATATACTATTTGTCATTTTAGTGATTAACAGTGATTGCTCTTAAAAGCTTTTCATTTCCTCAAGGTACTAGAGAACATTCCCTTGTTAATGACAATATTCCCTAGGTATTACAAATCATGAGCTAATGTCTCTAATTATGTAAGGCAGAAATGTACTAAGTATAGCGGTTAAAATTGAAGAATAATCATTTTTAGTGTCTCAGAAATTAAGGTTCTTGGTATTTATACATGTAAAATGAGGTATGGAAGAAGAGAATAGGTTATGAGGAAGTATTTTAATTGATTAACATCTTACCATTTTTTTAAAAGGGAATTCCATCTCCTTTTATACTTTCATGTTCTAAGATGGATTACCTACATCAAAGCAGTTTTGATGATGATACAAAGTAATACATCTTTATTCAGGTGTGTCATTTCCTTATCAGCACATAGTAATCCAATATACACAACTATAAATGTCTTTGAATATTTAGAACTAATGAGCATGAACTTCAGTTCTTTGTGTTCAATGTAATTGCAAGATTATCAATTACTTTCAAAAATGCTTTGAAACATGCCTAGGGCTGGTGTCTGTTATAAAAGGGAAGCAATTTAAAGCAGTAATTTTCAGCTCAGGAATTAGAATTTAGAAATGAATGATTTCAGAAGTATTACATGAGTTTGGGGTTTTTTTTATTGCTTGTTTCTTTGTTTTGTGTTATATTAGTTGCTAGTGCAAAGCTTGGTGCTAGATCACAGTTTCCTAATCTCCCAAGAAAATGGTGGGGCTGTCTGCCTCAGCTCTACCAGCATGTTGCCCAGGGGGTTAGTCCAACTCTCATATTGGCAGTTTTTATCAATTGCAGTCGAAGTAGCTTTGGTGGATGTTGAGCCTGGGTGGCTTTGCAGTGCCTCCCATGGTTTGCACTCTAAGCAGCCTCGCGCGACATGGCTCCACTCTTCAATTTGTCATGCCTCAAGCCACCTGCCTTCTTGCTTTCCTTCCTTCTGGTTCATCTGAGCACTGTCCTGCCAAAATCTCCCGTATGTGCTTTGCCTTCTGCTTAGCCAGGCCTCTCCAAATGAGATCTTCTCCACAGACAAGACTTACTGGCACACTCACAAAGGATCCTTAATGTAGCACTTTCAAACCTCGTACTGAGTCTACCTTTATGTTGCTTGCCTCTCACCCTATTTCTTCAATAACAATACAAAACAAGCTAAAATATGGTAAGGATTTAAGATGCTGTAGCTCTACTGGTGTTACACTGCTATTAAACTAGATCTGCAATATCCCTGTAGTGTTGATGCTGGGATACATGGCATTCATCTGGCACCGCTGTGACATGGGCTGTGCTTAATTCAATGGAACTGAATATGCCCTGGACAATCCTGAACATATATTACTGTTGTATCATCAGCGAACCATAGAACAAATACTGCTACAGGTCTGACCATCTGATCATGTGCAATCCACATGCAGAAGTCAAGCTCCTTCAATTGTATCAGTAAAACTATACCCATAGGAAAATGCTAGTTGCGCAGATAACATCTTTCCCTCTGTAAAAACATAGGTTGCCTGTTGCTCTAGAGAAGGAATGGATGGTAACTCTATCCTTACACAAAGTCTAAAAATTTAGGATGTCTTCCACAGATTGTAGCACTACCATAAGAAAATGCATCTGCAATAATGCAAATGACAATAACCCTGATGGCAGAACTGGAAGAAATAGAATGGATAAGATTCCACGTATACATATATACTAAGATGATGATAATAAATCATCTCTTTCTGAGGATCTTGAGTATCTCCATATTACAGTATTTAATGGTTTAGATGTGTCAAAAAATCCTGAGTAAGAATACTGAAATTATTTTTGTGTGTGTGTTTCCAATAAACTTTTTAGTCTGTACATTTTTTCTCTGAAGAGCTAGACTGGTTCCATCTAAATTACTAGTCTCCTGTTTTTGACAGTGCTCAGTAGTCGAGACTCTGGGAAAGAGCAATAATTCTCCTAGTCCCTAATGATAGGGCTTCTGTCACCTGCCATTCTGTGACCCAAGTACTTCTGTGCAGCGTCTTTGTATTTTACATACTTTGGCCAACTCTTCTGCCATAAACTTTTATAATTACTTTTTGAAATCATTAGTGAGTTTTGATATCCACAACATCCTGTGAGAAATTAACTCCAGACTTTAATTATTTCTTCTGTGAAAAATAACTGATTTATATCTCAGACCTATTGCCTTTCCTTCTCATACTGCTATGAAAAAAATGAAAATGAATAACCATTACCCTATTTCTTTTCTTGAGGACCTGCAAACCTCCAGCACTTATGTTATTTATCCCTTCTTTTCCTGACTGAACATTTTTCTGTATATACGTTCCATTATATGGAACCCCTCCCAGCCTGTTACCTGAACCCCCTATAGTTTTACTGTGTCTGTTCTGAGATGGGGATGACCAAAATGTTACATCCATGTATTTATTATTTATGACTTTAAGTTACTTGCATGTACTTCTGCTTGGCTTCATACAAGAAAATGAAAAGTATTACTGTTTTTTTTCCTGGAGTCTAAGTGACATTTACAGAGTCTGGTTTACTCTATGCTTTCTCTTTAAACAAAAATAGAAAGGCAAACCTTTAGAGATATTTTCACTGATTTGCTTTACCAGTGCAGGAAAATAGCACTCTGAAACCGGCCAGTAGTTGAGGCCATGGGAGCACAGGGGCTCAGGGAGCATCTCTGTGTGCACATACTGGCCTGAAAGCTTGGCAAAGCCTTTCAGGTTGCACTGCAGTACAGCTGATGTTCTAGGAAGCGACGAGTATGATTGCAGAGAAGGCCCAAAGAGACCTGAAATTGCCCGTTTCAAGGATGGTTGTTTTGGTAGTGGCTAAGTTCAACATTTAAAAGACAACAGGAGATATACTGAAGAGAGTGCAAGGAAGTTGGGAAAAGAGCCTACAGATGACCTAGACACTGTTATAAGGAGAAGAGCCAGGGGAGGATTTAGGCCTGAATTCAGTAATATAGCCATTTTAAAGCTTTTATGTTATCCTTGAAAAATGAGCTTAACAGAAGTCCTGAGCCCTCCCCAGACTCAGAAGGTGCCCCAGTGCTCTGGTTTTACAGTGTTCCTGCTCTGTGCCTGATGAATTGTTGCTCAGCTGCCATCACAGTGGGACCTCTCCATTTTGTATTTGGCTTCTTGTCATCCCATTTCTTGTAAATTGAAGTCGTGATTGCTGCAGTTATTAACCTTTCAAACCAGTGGCTCTGTGGCAGGCCTAGTACAAGTGGCACTTCACGATAAATTGCCCAGACTATCACGCGTGTGCTCAGCAGGTGGTCTTGCTTTCTCTTTCATCCATTGATAGATTTCTCACAATTTTAAAAAAGTCCTTGAGCTATGACATATTACTGTTTTTAAAATACTGAGACAATGCTTTTGCGGTATGCCTGATACTCCTGTATTAAACTTAAATGTTAATGATCTTTTAATTTTGGTTGAGTAATCTCATCAAAAATTCTGTGGAATGTCATGTTAGGAAATGTCTAGATATTCATTTAAATGTGAAAAGATTTTGATGAACATTTCTCTCACCTTACTTCATACCAGGGAAGGTGTAAATTGAAACTATGCATATGTTAAAATGTCCCTGGATACATACTGTAGCTTTAAATAGGGAGCTCTATAATTGTGACATTTATTGGGAAACCAATGTTTCTAAAACACCTTTATTCCCCATTACTGTTGGGAAATGAGGCAAACAATAAGAAAATAGTGGTACACTCAGAGAT